GTATATAAATCACTATATTTAGCAGGGGTACCTCCAATAATTTTTTCTCTTTTTCCCATCATTATATCCATAGCTAAATTTGCATCATATTTTATTCCTGTCTCTTATACACATCTAGATGTGTATAAGAGACAGGTATATAAATCACTATATTTAGCAGGGGTACCTCCAATAATTTTTTCTCTTTTTCCCATCATTATATCCATAGCTAAATTTGCATCATATTTTATACTTTCATCATCATAAAAAGGTCTACGTCCGCTTGATAATAACAAAAAAAGAGCTCCTATACTATATATATCTGATTTAAAATTTAATGTATAAAGTTTACTCCCGTATTGGATATCGCATACATTACTCAAATATTTTGGATCTATGTAGGGTATTGTACCCAATACATCGTCAGAATAATTTGATGTTTCAGTCGCCTTCTTAGATAGGCCAAAATCTGCTACTTTAATATGGCCTTTATGTATTAGCACATTGTGAGCATGCTAAATAAATATTAAATTTTAATAATGTATTTAGCAGTGTGTATTAATTAAAGTAACGAAAAATAAAATTATAATACATACCAGATTACAATGGATTATACCTTTATCGTGAATATATTCTACAGCACTTGCTAGTTGTAACGCTAAACGATATTTATCGTTCCATTCAAGTTTAGTGAAATTCTTCTTCAAGTAAGAATACAGTGACCCACCATCCGCGTACTCTAAAACTAAAGAATATTTATTGTCTAATTTTGAAATTCCATAAATTCGTAAAATATTTATATGAGAATCAATTTCTTTCCGTATTTTGAGCTGTTATACATTTTGATAAAAATAAAGATTTTTATGAAATTATTAATTATTACAAAATATGTTTGTTTAAAATTTTAAAATACCTCATTTATAATTTTTTTAACATTCAATCCAGGTGTTTTCACGATCAAACGAGTATTATCATTATTACTCCAATTTACTTTAAATATTTTTCCAACTGAACTGATACTATTTTCAAATTCTTGTTTATTTGTAAACTCGTTATGATTAAAATATGTGATATTATTATTCTCAATTTCTTTTTTTATCCAATCAACATATTCGGAATCGTTAGTTTGTTCTTTAGTCGTTGACATGTTGATAAGAAAAAAAAAAAAGAAAAAGAAAATAAAACTTTTTTTTAATATTAAAAAAAATAAGTCGATTATATATAGTTTTTCAATAGTTTCAAGTTTGTAACACGAATTTAAAAATTAATTAAAACAGATAGTCGTTTTCTGTATATTTTTAAGTCAAATTTTTCAAACTCGGCAACTCGGCAATAAAATTTTCCGTTGACAATCATTTCTTATTATCATTGATCTTCATGAAGAATTACCATTAAATTTCACAAAAAATATTCCTTTTTGGTAAAACAAAACATTGTGATAGACATAGACAATAGACAGTGATTTAAACAATCATTTGACCTGGATTTTAACTGTGCTACTAAGGATGAATGGGATGAATGAATGTTAATAATTCATGAAATAAAATCACATTTGTTTAGTATTACGTTGATCAACTTTTCTTTGTTATACGAAACATTCGAAACAAAGATTCGGGTATTCATATATCTTATTTAAAAAAATAATTAAACAGATCAATACCAAAAAAAAAATTTATCTAGCACATTCTATCAATACAAAAAGGGAGGTACAAATTTAATTGTAATTTCTCATTTTGAACTTTTCTGATTGTATTACAAGATATTTAAAATGTTTTTAGTAATAAGTTATTGTTTTAATATTTAAAACCAAATATATGATACAATTATTGCTAACGAACTAGTCGTAATTGTTTGCTACTGAATAAAATAACTATAATTTAAACGTTATAGAGAATAAAATCGTAATTCGAATATTTTGAATTTTATACCAATAATTAACGACATTTTTTTGAAAGTTAATAATTCATTGACAGTTAGTGTTCCGAAAGGGTCGGGTCAAACCCGCCCGACTCGTATTTAGGGGTCGGGTTTGGGTCGCACGATTTGATGACCGTAACCATGAACTTGACCTGACCGTCGAGTCGGGTTATACCTTTACTTTGACCTGGCGACCCGAATCTTTTTATTATATTTTTAGCTAAAAATTTAAATTTTTTTATATTAAATACAACTTGACGGGTAGAACCCGGGTTATCCGAGTCAGAATATAATTGGGTCAAGTCGAATCCGGGTCATTACTTTTACGCTCGGGTCGAGTTCGAATATACCTCAAAACCCGACCCTTCGGAACACTATAATCATTGTTTATATTCATATTTCATAAATTATATTTTTTTAATTTCATGTTACCCATTAAATATTGTAGGCGTACAAACTTTACAAATTCTATGTACATTTGAATCTTAAATTAACATTCTAGAAAGAATAAATCAAGACTCCGCGCGTTATATAACAATATTTAATTCACTTAGAAAAACACTTTGAAAATACAATTTAAAATGTATAGGATTATTCTACAAAATATACAAAATAAAAAGATAGAACAACAAATCGGAATTAAGAAATTTTGTGATTCGGCCATTGAATGATTTTTTTTCAAGCTATCGTAAGATGATTGGAGTTCTAGCATTCTTTTTGCATCTTCATATCCTCCTTCAGCAGCATCTTTATACAATTCAATCGCCTTTTCTTTATCTATATTAGTTCCAATACCATTTTCATAACAATAACCAAGTATATATTTCCCACCTAAATATCCTTTTTCAGCTGATTTTTTATAATGCTCAAATGCTTTAACTTCATCTTTTTCAATACCAATACCATATTGATAACATTTACCCAAATAATAATGCGCAGCTTCGTAACCATTTTCTGTTGCTTTTTTATACCAATAAATTGCTTTTTCCAAATCTTGATCAATTTCTTCTCCCTTTTCATATAAATATCCCAGACTACATTGCGCATTACCATACTCTTGTTCAGCTGATCTTTCATACCATTCAATTGCTTTCTTAATATCTTTCTGCGTTCCTTTACCTTTTTCGTAAAAATATCCTAAATTTGATTGTGCAATTTTATTTCCACCTTTTGCTGCTCTTGTATACCAATAAATTGATTTTTCTAAATCTTGGTCAATTTCTTCTTCATTTTCATATATATATCCCAGCTTAGTTTGCGCATAACTAAACCCTTGTTTAGCTGATCTTTCATACCATTTAATTGCTTTATTTATATCTCTTTGCATTCTTTTACCATTTTCATAAATATATCCTAACTTATATTGTGCAATTTTATTTCCATTTTTTGCTGCTTCTTTATACCGATAAATGGTCTTTTCTAAATTTTGTTCAATTCCTTCTCTATTTTGATTAAAATAACCTAAATCATATTGCACTTTTTTATTTCCATTATTTGCTACCTTTTTATATGAAAAGATTGCTTTCTCAAAATTTTGATTAGTTCCTTCTCCATTTTCATAACAATTTCCTAAATAAAGTAATGCAAGTTTATTTCCATTTTCTGCTGATTTTTGATACCAATAAAAGGATTTTTTAGGATCTTTGTACAATTTACCAAAATAGACTTGAGCAATAGGATAATTATCTTTTGATGCTTTTAATAACAAACCATATGCTTTATCTTCATTTCTTTTTACAATAATTCCATTAAAGTAAAGAAAGCCACAAAAGAAAATATATTTAGATGATGTTTGATTTTTAATAAGCCAATCAAAAATTTTAATTTGTATAGGTTTACTAATACTTTCAAAAAGTTGTCTAATGATTTCTTCTGTTTCAGTAATAGTGTAACCAAATTCATCATGCAATTTGATAACGTAGTCAATTATTTTATCAACATTTTCTTCAACGTTATTATTTAAATCAGTGAAATTATTTGACACAAGATTTGAGGGATTGTCGTCATTTAGAGATAAATCATAATTATCCATCATGTTATCAAAATCATTATTTAACGATTCTTTCTCAATTTCATTTGTAATAGATTTGATGGAATGATCAATTATTGATTGAAGACATGAAATTACTATTTGTAAAGAAGGCCTTTCATCAGGATCATCTGACCAACACGCTAAAAATAAAATTTTATATCATTAATTATCATATAAAATCATCCCATCCCATCGATCGTGATGTCGTGATGCGTAAAATTTATTACCTGTATATATATCACTATATTCAACAGGCGTACCCTTAATAATTTCTTCTCTTTTTCCATTTATTATATCCATGGCTAAATTTATATCGTATTTTGTACCTTCATCATAAAAAGGTCTACGACCGCTTGATAATAGCCAGAGAAGAATTCCAATACTGTAAATATCTGATTTGAAATTCGTTATACGAGGTTGATTGATGTTATACGTAACATTCAAGTTTGTTGGATCTGAATAAGGCAGAAAATCTAACGCTTTATTAGAATAATTTGATGTTTCATTCACCCTTTTAGATAAGCCAAAATCTGCAACTTTTATATTATTTTTATGTATCAATACATTCTGTTCGTGCTAAGATATAAAGGATAGTAATAACGATAATTAATTTATATAATAACAAAAATAAATGTTTTAAATAATTAATACATACCAGATTACAGTGAATTATACCTTTATTATGAATAAAGTCTATAGCACCTGCGAGTTGTAACGCTAAACAATATTTATCATCCCATTCAAGAATGGTAAAATTCTCTTTTAAATAAGAATACAAAGATCCACCATTCGCGTACTCCAAAACTAACGAATACTGATTTTCTATTTTTGAAATTCCATAAATTCTTAAAATATTTATATGAAAATCAACTTCTTTATGCGCTTTGAGCTATTTGTTATACAATTTGATAAATTAAAAGATTTTTCGTGAATTTATTAATTAATTATATATATATAAAAAAAAAAAAATAATGTTAAAAATTTTTAAAAATACCTCATTAATAATTTTTTTAACATCAGAATCGTATGATGATTTCACGACTAAATTAGTGTTAGTGTTATTCCAATTTACTTTAAAAATTTTTCCAACCGAATTATTATTATTATTTTCGATTTCTTTTTTATTTTTAAATTCGGTATGATCATAATATGTGATAAAATTTTTCTCGATTGCTTTATTTATCCAATCAACGTAATTGGAATTATTATTTTTTTTTTCGGTTATCGACATTTTTGTTTAAGTAAAAAAAAAATCAAAAAATTTTTTTTTGTTTTTGTTTTTTTATCGTCAAATGACCTTTTATATAAAAATTTTGTTTGTGCTACCTGATTTTAATGTTATTGTTTATTCAAGGCTTTGCCATAACAAGTTAATGAATCGCGATTACTGGTTATTATTTATTTTTTTTGGTAAAGATTCTACTAATTTCTAAGCCATATTAGGTTAGACATGATCAAGATCGCTCCAAGTTTTGATTGTCTAACATGTGACATAATAGGTATTTACATCTGAAAGATCATCATTTACATACAGCTAACCCCAACCAGTATACATTAACTTAATTACATAGAGCTTAAAAAAATGCACGTCTATTTGACCTATATATATTTAACAATAGCTCGTTCGAGTTTTACTACATTCCAAAATGAGAAAGATAAAAGATCTTTTGTAAGTTACGTTACTTGCAGCTCACAGATTAATGAAAATTGCGATAATCGTTAGGTATAAAGTTATTGCGGAAACCTTAATTTGTGTTTTATTAACTGTCAACATTTTAGCAACATTGAAAGACATTAACGAATAACTTGGAATAAAAATATCAATAAGAATCTTACGATATTAAACTTTTTTAACTTGATTAATGCAATATCTGATATTATTTTTAAAATAAAATTAACTTTCAATACAATTATTGAACCTCTCTGTAAAGAGTAAAATGTCTCAAAAATAAACAAAAATAAAAAAACTGAAATTATCTTAAATACTTTTGAAAATTATTATTAAAGATTCTCATTTGTAATCTATCACATATTGAAAAATTATTCAAGAATTAAGATTAATTTTTAACATCATTGAATAATTCAAACGTAACGCTAAAAAAACTAAATATGACGCTGGATTACCATCTTCATCATAACGTTCATTTAACTTTTGTTCGAAAACCTCTTTCGATACCGAATTTCTATACTCTTTTGTTTGTTCTGTTTGTTCGTCCCGTTATGAACAAAGCACTTTCGTCCAATCAAATGTCATTTCAGTGAATATGTTTAATCGATCCCAATCGATCGGTCTTATCACCTGCCTTTCTATATTTATTCAATGCATCAGCTTTTACTGAGCATTTTCCCGAACTCTTGAGTTTCTTCTTTTTATTCTTTTTCTCTGTTACGTGATTGTTTCAGATCTTCTTGCGCACTTCATTACTAGTTCGTTCTGTACCTACTTTTCGTCTACTTTCACTTAATTTTTTGGTAAACGTGAAATGCAAGCCAAATTAACGTCGTCGTGAAATTCTTTAAATTCTTCATTCGTCGGCTTTCTTGACCCGCTCGTATACTGAACGCTAACTTTATGTTCTACCTTCTTCATTTGACTATCTTTTCGTTTTTCATTAATTATACAGTACTTACTACCTCCGATGCAGTATAATCTTTAATCTTTAGTTTATCATGAAATTATTTTAGATGTTTATTCGTACAAGAACCTTTGCCTATATTTATTCACTACTTCATCTTCACCAACCTTGGTTCCAAAAATTCTATTGTGTTATCTTGTACTATTAATGATTACTGCGATAGCACCTTCTTAGACAAACCTGACGACACCGATTTTTGTTTTTGTTGTCCGTAAATAAAAAATCATCAAATTTTTTCTTTTTTGGAGGAATCACTTAGTAATTCATTTCCCTATTCAAATTATTTTCAATTGCCTTCCTAACTCTAACTCCATATTGAGATAAGCATTAAATACATCTCTGTCCTTCAATCACAATTCTGCTTCGCAAAGATAAATTTATCTTAAGTTTCGTATAAATCTCCGAGAAAGATAAATTTTTTAAATCATCGGGAACTTTTTTTTTATATGCTATATACTTGAACATGTCTTGTATCTGCGATAATTATTATAAGAGATCGATATTTATATTGTTTCTTTTTAGTAAATTTAGACAACACGACCTAATGTTTTTAATACACCAACTATATCATTATTGCTCCACCTGTTGTAATTAATATGTCACGTGCTTCGGTACTATGTTTTGTCAGCAGATCTACAACTTGGGTTTGTATAGATTTCCTTGCGCTTACTAATCCTTTTGCGTTGATCTGACGAATGACGTTATCTTTACTTTTTTTATTTTTTTTTAAAAATCAATAAAGCACTTTATTAATTAGGCGATACAAATTTGGCAAAAATGTCAGCCGGGTCAGTTTTTGTCAAGTCTTAAAAAAAGAATTTTTTTTTTATATTATTACTATACCGGGTGAGAATTTTTTAAAAATTGAAAAAAAAATTTTCACAAAATTTTAGAAAAAAAAAATTAAAGCCAGGTTGCCGAGTTATTGATAAAATTTTTATATTATGAAAACCTAAAAATATTTAGGGGTATTAATAAATAAATTAAAAATAACCCTATAACTAATCGATCTATATAAAAATTAACTAAAATCTAAAAAAAAACCAAAACCTAAAAATAAAAATTAAACACATTACGTAACCTAATCTAAATAAATAATCTTCTGATGCTATGCATCATTTTTTTTGTTCTGTTATAATTTAAGATCATTTTTTTTCTTTTCTTTTTTGTTTTTTAAATTGTTTTCTTCTGTTTGTTGTCTTTTTATTTCTTTTCTATCAGATTCTATATTAATCATATCCTTTGTTGTTTCTCTCAATATTAATTCTTTTATCTTTTTTTGAAATTCCTTTCTTTTGTTTCAATTCTATTACTTCCTCACATCTTTACACCAAATGTTACTTTTAATTCGTTAATAACAATAAACACATTGACCCTCATCTCCCAACTTAATAAAGTTTTCTTCGAAAGACACTATAGCATTTAATATAACTTCCCTAACTGTTGACTCATTAACCATCATCTTTATTTTGATTTTTTTTATGCTCAAAGAATAATTGTAAATGACATTTTTGTAGTAAAATCTTCTGGTTTTATAATTAATATGTAAAAAATTTAATTATGATCGCGAATTTTATAATTGATAAGACATAAAATATTTAAAAAATAATGATTTAAACATTTTAAGAATCTATTTAAAATATTTTTTAATGGAGAAATATTTAAAAAATAAAAAAATTAAAAAATAAATTATATCTCTGGATACAGAAATGGAAAGACAAACAAGTTGGATGTTAAAAAAAAAAAATAAACTTTCATAATAGCTTCTAGATACATATCTTTCACTACTTTCCATAGCACTCCCAGCTTTTTTCTCTCAGTTTTTTGGTCGAGTGATCATTGGGAAGGGATTACTGCTGTTTTCATAAGACATGGGACAAAATAAATTTTTGAACCTGACCACCGATCCGCTGATCCAGATTTGACCCTCATTTAAGTCATTTCATTTATTTCAAATTAAATCTAATGATTAATTCTTCATTTCTGAATTTAAGAAAAATATAAGAGCTCTCCTCTTCTAGTTAAACAGTTTTACTCACTTCTTTTTAAAGACATCGTCATACGTGTGTATAAACGCGTCCTAACATGAATACTGAAACCATGCGCTCCCGCTTTGATTCCACCATTGAGCGAAAACATCTTAATTTTTTAAATAATATTTATCTTATAATTGTAAAATTTTAAATCAATTTTAAAAATTATGTGGATTATAAACGTCATAATAATGGTATACATGATATTGTTAGTTATTCAATGTTGAGGGACTCAAAGTTCAATACTCTAATAGAGTTAACTAAAATTTAGTCAAATAGGGGAATTACTGATTGCTTGCTTGTGAGTGTGCCCCACATTTTTAACTGCTCCTTGATGGCATCAATTTGTTCCTCAAGGTTTTTGTCTAACATATTGATAACACAGGTGACAATATCTTTGTCAAACTGCTCCTATTCTCCTCAAATATTTTTATTTCAGTATTTATCTTCTGAAACGAGGTGAAATTGGTAATATTTTTTAGCAATGGTGAGGTTTGATGTATTATTAACCTTTATGACTTTAACAAGTCAAACTCCTAAACATGTGAGTTTTTGAAGTAAATTACGAGCACAGGTTTTCATCGCTTTTTCCAGTACTCAATTTCTGTATTAACTACTTGGATTAACTTTTCATATGTCCTCTTTGCACTTTTTGATGCCTGTTTTTGTCCATACTTTAGCAAAAAAGTATGTTTCAATCAGATACATAAGAACATTTTCTGCCTTGTCAATATCTTCAGTAATTTGTTGGTCTTAGAATTGTTCTCATCCTTTTCCAACTTAAATTTATTCTAATAGGGACAGAAAATATATATAAGCTTTATAAGTTCTAATCACTCTCACATAAAAATTTTAAATTCTTTTTTTTATCATTATCTTGGTTTCTGGATGAGCTATTGTTCCAACTCCTACATCTTTTAATAATCCTGAAAATTATTCTTTCATTAAAATTTACATAATTACTATCAAGCTTTATTTATCTTACAAATATATAATAATATTTGGTAAGTAAGCTCTGAATGTAAAATATTGTCTACAGTGCTATATACTTCTTTTAGCATTTTTTCCTTCTTAATTCTTTTGAGTTGAAAATTTCGTATCAACCTTTTACTTGTTTAATTTTCTAATAGTATATAGGTTTTCTAGTTTTGTAAATTTGAGCTGGATTTGTTTCAAAAATAATATGTATAAATAGCAACTATAGAAATAAAGTATTCTATTTTTCTTTAATAGTTATCATTTTCAAGAAGTTGCTCCTAAAAAATATATAATGTATATTGAAAAAGTTATCTTGCAAATTTGATATTATATGAAAAAATATTAATTGAAATTCTTTGTTTTAAATTTTGAGAAATATTCATATCATATAATAGTTAAATCTTATGCTTCTCATCTTAATATTTGGATTTGTTTCTTCTTCAATTATATCAGTATTAAACACTTAATAATTTTAATGTATGAAAATCTAAGATGTCCTTCATACATTTTAAAACATTCTCTAAATTACTTGTGAAATATGTATAAAAAAAAACTGAAAATTTGATCCATCAAATGGAAGAAAAAAAAATT